GGTACAATAGTATATGATGTGATTACTCCTTGTTCAATCATATGAACCAATTCAATATCAATTGGAAATTTTGTTGGTTTGCCAAGTTTTTGTAACATTTTGAGAGCACCGACATATGAAACGGCATATGCATGGGTACAATATGGCCTCTTAGATTTAAACAATTTGAATTCAGAAGATATATCGTTACTATCCAATAAATATTCATTAGTTGCACCTTCCAATTCACTACAATGACCAAGATATAAGATTTCCCAATCAGCAGGTAAATTACGATGAGTATCAGTCATAATTGACACGATATTAAGTTCAAAATCTATATCATCTTCTAAAATTAATGCGCTATCGTATCTATTATCAACAATTGATTGATAAATCTTATAATGGCTTAAATAATGAGCTTTTTGAGGTGGTTGTAATTCACTACTTGGACTAAATCTTTTCAATGCATCGACATCAGATTGAGAAATTGCCTGAACAAATTCAAATCTTAATTTTAATTTTTTCGCTATACTTTCTAATTTTTCACGTTTACCTGGTCGTTCTGAAACATTAGTAACATAAATATTATCAAAGCCGAGGGTAGAATTCCAAGGTTTTGATTTTTTAATAAGTGAATTTAAAGTAGATTTCTTCAAAAAGTAGAGGCCATAATTTCTTTGGACAGAAGATTGCCATTGAACGATAGGAGGTGGTAAGATAGTATAAGAAGTAATTTCTTTTGATTGAATCAGGTTAGTCAGTTCAAGTTCAATCGAAAGTTTCGTTGGTTTAAGAGTTTTTAATAATTTTGAGGCACCAGAGGATGAAATGGCATATGCATTTGCACAATGAGTCCATTTAGATCTAAACAGTTTATGATCTGGTGAAACGTTTTTTCTATCTGGCACTGGACTACTATATACACCTTCTTGACTGTTACAGAAACTGAGATGCAAAAGATCCCAATCTGCGGGTAAAATTTTATGAACATTAGACATTATTGACGAGATGTCAAGTTCAAAGTCTAAATTGTCATCTAAAATTAATGCATCTTCATATTCACTATCAACGATGGATTGATAAATTTTATAATGAGTAATATATGAAGCCTTATGTAATGGATCTAATTCACTGTCAAACTTGAACTCGTCGAAAACTTTGCTGTCATCCGAAGAAACAGCAGGAAAGAATTCAAACTCTAAGCCTAATCTCTTTGCTATATCCTTCATTCTTTCATGTCTTTTCGTTTGAGTTAAAGAATTGATAACATAAACATGATCAAAGCCGAAACTGGAGTTTGAATGCTTAGAATGTTTTTTCACATCATGATAAATTGGGATTGGTCGAAGCACATATGTAAGCCAAAGACTTGTGTATGTAAATGTCGCCAGAATAATGATGGCTATCATAAATCGTGCCTCTGCACTTAACCGCGTCATAGTTAATATGATAGTAATATTTGTGGGTTAATTAAATTATGAACGAAAAATATTACCGTTTAATTATTTTATAGTGGTTTGTTATGAAACAACAACTATGATTTGTGTGACAATGCACAGCCTAAATTCATGCCAATCATACATCAAATTGCCAATCATACATCAATACATGGCATATATGCACCAATAAAAGAGTTGACCATATATATCTAGATTATAAAGAATAAATAAATAGATGCCAAATTGGGTTTGACTTTCCCGATAATCATTTCCTGACACCTAAATTAAGCTAACTCTAACTCTAAATCAGGCCAACACTAACTCTAAATCGACATTAGCTTTTAGCCGCCGTATCAAATTAATCACTAATTTTAAATGTATAACAGTATCTTTATTTACCCATTTTTTAAGAAGTTATTATCTTTTCTAAATAGAAGAGTGTTTAAAGTTAATTTGGCAACGAATTTATATAACTGTCTATATGCTAGGAAGCAGGAACTGCTGGATTTGTTATTTAACTTTAATAATTTAAATAAATAGCAATAGTGCATAAATTGCAAATCTGCCCACAATACAGGTTTCATGATCCATGCATAAATGGATCCTGCATAAATGCTGATCAATAAAACTTATAAACGCCCGATTATCTAGTTCTGGTCCACAAATAAATTCAATAAGTCAATATAATACAATACATAATTCCTGATAATTTTATTGTTACTGAAATCTCTATAATGCATTCTCCAATGTAGGAATCACCCATTTTATTGGCTTTTTGTTATCACTATTATAGACAATATTAAATAATTATAAAAAAATTGAATTTACTACGCCTTTAATTCCTCCCATAATATTTAACATTTTTAATTCTATAAACCAAAATTCAATAAAAGGTGCCTTTACATCGTAACAACGTTAAAATTTTATTTTACTAATTAAAATATACGATTTACAAACATAATGCAGGCCACATAGTAAATCGTTGGCCGGGTTTCTTTTACAAAAACTTTAATAACACTTGAATGAGTGAACTTATAAGTAAAATTATATTTGCTAGGTCCTCTTAATATGCTCTTTAAAATAACAACGCTATTTATTTTATACATTATAAAGTGAAAATTAATCATTAAATCGACAAACGAATTACTGTATGGCCTGCGTTATGTTGCATATCAACGGATTTGCGGAATTGGAATTAAATTTGTCTATAGTTAGATTTTAACAATGAGGTTGTAGTGTTAAATCCAGGGACACTGTTACGACAAGGGAGAGACTTTCTAACAGCACTGCCAATCGAACTCAGGTCGTAAGCATTAAAATAAAAGAAATCAACTATTTATCATCACACACAAGACACTAAAAGCACAAAGAAATATGAGCGATACAAGTAAGTATCTTTCTAACAAGTGTACCAGGTACACTATAGTCCTCTAAAATTCCGAAAAAACCAACTAAAACTCTAAAGAAGTACTACTTAAGCTGCTATCCCTATTTATATGCATATTATTAGACTTAAATAAATATAGTATAACAATATAAAAGTCTAATTAGAGTAATCCTGTGACTATACTAAACTATAAGGTTACAAAAAGCTTATTTATAAATGTCACATTATTTTTCGTAACACTAATTTATATATTACGATGTAAGACATTTTTCATTGAACATTTGCTTTTATAGAATTAATATTATGGGAGGAATTAAAAGCGTAGTAAATTCGATTTTTTTTATATAGCGTGCAGATCTGAAAAATTTATTATAATTTATTTTTTTTTTGTATGTACTGTATTTTTACTATCCAATATTAATTATATTTAGCGTATGCTACATTATAAAAGACTTTAATACAATTTTTTATCTTCTTCTCTCTTTCGCTATGTGTAATAAAGGCAATCAATTTCTATAATTCTATTGATACGTGCAATGTTTATTATACTGGTTGCAAAATTTATACATAAATTACTTTATTTCTATTTGCTATAATTTATTGTAGCATTCTAATGCTTGACTTTAGTGATAGGATTACGGGGCCGATTTAGTAATTTATTAAGAATCAATTTCAACTTTTTTAATTACGATTCTCAAAAACCAAAGAAGTCAGCATAGAGTTCTTGTAAAATGCATTTGCTAATGCTTTTCCAACATCGGATCCAAGATCAGTCCAAGATTCAAAGAAGTTAACGAGGTGTTCTTATAAAGTGTACCTATCTGTTAATGCTTTTCCTCCTTCTGAGCCGATATGACTCCGACTAAGAAAAAAAAAAAGTCATTGTAGAATTCTTGTAAAGTACATTTGTTAATGCATTTCTTTTCTTTCTTTTGATCCAAGATTATTATTCTCAAGAATCAAAGAAGTCAACGTAGAGTTATTGCAAAATGCATCTACTAATGCTTTTCCAGCGTATGATCCTAGATTATTCCAACCAAGATTCAAATAAGTCAGTGTAGTATTCTTGCAAATTGCCTTTATTAACTCGTTTAGTTGCTCTGATCCACATCTATAAGAAAGATTCCAAGTTGAAGCACTTTTTGACAGGGATGGTAAATGACCTGAAATGACCCAAATGAACCTTAGAAGGTCATTTAACATATGGGTCTTTGTCTTGAAAATCACCTTCCGACATTTCCGATCAGGTTAATTCGGACAAAAATAAACCCGAGTACCGGTTCATGTTCATATGTTAATCATCTTTTAATTTTATTGATTCAATAGTTTATTGAATAACTATTAAAATCAATAAAAGTAAAAGATGATTAACATACGGTACTCGGGTTTATTTTTGTCCGAATTAACCCGATCGGAAATGTCGGAAGGGTGATTTTCAAGGCAAAGACTAGAGCTTGGAACCGGTTTGATTTTCATATGTTAAACCCGGTTTTAATCGGTTTTAATATATGAAAAATTAGTGAATTGACTCGACAAAAAAATCATTGCTCGATGATTGACCAAAAAAAATTTTTGCTTAATCGATCAAAAATCAATTATATAAACTTGATCGAGTATGATCGATCAAACATATAATTTATAAGCTCGAGTATATATAATCGATCAATTATCAGGTCAATAATTGATCGATTATATCTTATTTACTAAAAAAATCTAAAAATAATAATGTATTCGATAAAATTTTCTTGATCGATCAAATTCTACTATCTGATCGATCAAAATCATGCTCTACTATTGACTCAACTCGATCAATAATCGATCAAGATATAGTCGAGTCAATTCACTATGAAAAATAAAGCCGGTTCCAAACTCTAGCAAAGACCCCATATGTTAGTTAATATTCCAATACTTTTAACCAATCAGAATTGGCCGCCAATCAAAATTAAATTTTATAAAAATATCACTAATCGTAGCTATATATCAAAATCAATTTGATCATTAAAAAAAAAGTAATCACTGATTTCCGATTTCTTCAACATTTTTTTGACTTTTAGATTAGGTAAAAATTTTGCGCATTTATTATTTTGCAAAAATTTTATTATTTTTTATAGAAATAAAAGTTGCATATTCATCATTTTGTAATATATTTGCAAAAATAGGTGTTGCGCATTAAATATCCAATCAAATTTTTACAAATGATAAATAACTTTTTATGAGTAATTCAACCAATAAATTTACTTTACATGCAAATGACCCAAATGACCAAATAACCTGGTCATTATTTGATGACTTGAGGTCATTTAAATTTTGATCGAATGACTAGGTCATTTACCATCCCTGCTTTTTGATCTTCAGCACTATACAGACTGTTTTGAGAATTTTTTCATAAAGTTCTAACGCTTTGAGAAATTTGCTTTGAAGAAAACATTTACGTGCCTCTTTACTTATATTCTCAATTTCTTGCGTTAAAATGCCTGAATTTATTATATTGGTAAATAAAGTGGAGATGATGTCGTAATATCAAATGAATTTCGTTTTCCATTCGTATTATCTTGAATACTTGAAGAAATTTCGCTATTTTAAGCTGACGTTTCAATAAAATGGTGCTGACTCAAAGTTTCATTAAGAATGAGTTGTTTTAAGTATTGAGAATTAATTTTGTTTCTGGATGATTAACAGGATCATTGTCCAACATTGTTCGTAAAGTTCAACATACTGAGATGGCGTATCTTCTATAGGTTCCTTTAAATATATGAAAGCAAAACTCCATCTTTGATTC